TTAACCAACTGAGCCACCCAGGTACCCCCGGGCCTCAGTTTCTCTTGAGCAACCTGGGGAAATGATGAACCGGTCTTCCAAGTGTGGGAGTTTGCTGGTTTCCACTCAGAGACACAGCAATCTCTTGGTGCCCATCTCAGTCACGTGCATGCACCCATAGTTTCACAAGCACCCAGGGACAGGCAGAGAGACAGACACACGCGCACACCTGCCCCCCCGTCCTCGCAGACATGCACACACCGGGGTCGTACATAGGGAGCACTCACACCCACAGACGCGTGCAGAGCCACATGCCCCACGTTCAAACACGTGCCCAGACGTAGAAACAGCCGAAAACGCCCAGGCGCACGAGGAGGGAGGTACCAGACATAGAGTCATTGATTTTTTTCTTTTTGGGAATGTTCCCAGAGAAACTGACCCTTTTTTGGGAGAGAGGGAAGCTGCTGGCAGCTCCGAAGGCATAGACAACACCAGCTGTAGGGGTGCTTCCTTGTGTTGAGGGTTTCACCCGGTGGGCCTTGACACGAGGCGGTAAAGGCAGTAGCAGCAGTGGCCCTTGGAGAAAACCCCGGTCTCCTTAATCTGCCTCACATGCTGAAGATGGGAGATTGCGTGCTTTGCCAACTGTTGGGAGAGGAAAACCTGTCTGTTCTGGCTGTGTGACCTTGTGTTAGTGACCCAACCTCTCCGTGCCTCTGTGCTCCCATCGATAAAAGGAGGGGCAGTGCCTGACATGCGGCAAACTCTACATGAGTGTCGGCTGCTGTTCCTGCTGTTGTCTGGCTCTTACGAGAAAGCCTGAGTCTGGGCATCACTGGGCCCTTCACCCTTCCTGGGCCCCTTCCTCTGTCAAAAATATTTATAAAGCACATTTTCTGACTGCATAGGTATAAAGGCTAATGTAATCCAAGCTGATATAATATAATAGAAGCCCTGATTGTTTTCATTCTTTTCCTGATGATTTCATAAGAACCCACAAGATTTTCTTGCGGCCTAAGGGTATTGTGGGCCCCAGCACTGCGGCCACAGTGTGGATGGGTCAGCCAGCCCTGGCCGTACCCGCTCCTTATGCCAGGTTATGTGTGACTAAGTACCAGAGTGAGGCTTTGGGGGATGTTCTGTGGCTCACAGGAACCTTCTCTGGGCATTGGAGGTGCTTTGAGCTAAGCCTTGGGATAGCCAGGGAGAAACCTGTTCTCACTGAGAGCAGGTGGGCAGTGGTGGTGGGTGGCGCCAGTCCCTGCTGACCCGGCCCTGATGCCGGGCGCCCTGGTCTGGGGATGCCATGACTCCAGTGGTCCAAGCTGCCTAAGTGACGGTGTCGACGAGTGGGTGGCTGACCTGACTGGCTGTATGTAACCAAAGCGAGAGAAGCCGCCATGGGTGGGGGGCGGGGGCTGTGAATGTCAGCAGAGGGGAGCCCCGTTGGGTGGGTGTCCTGGATTAACTTGTTTAAAGACTTGACTATTTTGTTTGCCCAGTCTACGAGGTGCTGACCTACGGTGTACCCAGAAACCATCCACCTGTCCGTCCGTCCATCCGTCCATCCATCCACCCCTTCCTCACTCTCGCATTGGCAGGAACCATGTGCCCAGGCTGGAGCCGCAGAGGTGGGACCCCGCTCAGCACCCTTGGAGCCCCCTGCTGGGCCCAGCAGGGTTCTGGGCCAAGGCCTGGGACTCAGTGGGGTGCAGACTGAGAAAGGATTACTTCTCGACAGATTCCGCGTCCACAATGAACTAGAGGATTTGAGGGTGTGAGAAGGCTGGAATCCCCATTCTCATCCCCTCGAACTCTGTGCTTTTCCAGGACCCAGACTGGGGCCTCCCAGGGCCTGGGCTGCAGAGTCTCCCAGACACTCAGAGCCAGAATATCCTGGAAAAATAATCAAAGGTGACTTGGCAGAGGCTGAGCTGCTGGGGGTGGGGGTGTCCTTAGGAGAAGCAGTGCCAAGGTTGGGAGTGCGAGGGTGGTGAGAGCCTGAGAAACAGGGCAGCTGCAGCTGACTGGGGCCCATGGTTTCTAGCGGCTGGGACAGGACTCTCAGGTGGCAGCTGTTTCTTGGGTGAGAGCCACTAAGGGGCCAGCGGGGGTGACAGGGAGGGGCTGGCACTGCTTCTCCTTAGAACCAGATGGAAGTGTTGGGGGCTCAGAGGAGGTCTGGGGCTCACTGGGGGTTTCAGTGTTTTGCAGTGGGGTCCCAGAGGATGGTTCCTGGGAGGGGATCAAGGAAGTATATACTTTCCCACCCCTGGGGCCTGAGTCACTCGGGCCTTTTCATTCCGCAGCCTGACGCCTCTGCTGGAGTGGGGATCTCATGCAGGCCGAGGCTGAGGGCCCCCTCCCAGCTGAGACCTGTGGGTGTGGTGGAGGGTCCTGGCATGGGACAGCTGTCTCTCACAGCTCTCACATAGGATGGTGTCTCTCATGTTCGGAGGGATTGAGGCCCACATCCAGAATGGGGACAGCTGGAAGGTGGGGCTGGAGAGCTTGAATTTTAATCCTTCCCCACGTCCTCTATCCTTTTGTTCTAAGACCCTCTGAGCTCCGATATCAGGGTTTCTGACATCTTCCCTTGGGGAAAGGGGTACCGAAAGACAACGCTTAACCGAGCATGCTGTGTTAATGATGGTGATGTCTTAGGGATTGGGCAGCACACTGTGGGGGGGCATTTCCCAGGAAACACCCTCCCAGGACAGCCAGCTGTCCTCCCCTCGCCTGGCAGGTGAGGGAGCCAGTGGCTGCTGCAGTACCATGCATGTCCACCTGGGGGCAGTGATGCCCAGCCTAATCCCACACTCCCTGCACGAAAACCCAGGTTGCACCCTAAACCTGCAAACTGCAGGGCTGGGAAGACCCTAGAGACCCTCACTTTGAACAGACGGGGAGACTGAGACCCAAGAAGAGCCTGAGCTGTCCCATGCAACACAGGTAGCACCTCAAGTCCTTCCTCATCGTGCTACCACCCCAGCCTGTCTTGTGTGCGTGGCAGTGGGGGGAAGCTTGAGGGGTCTCTGCGTGGGGCAGAATCTTGGGTGCTCTTGGGTGCATGTACCTAGAATGCCCACAGTGGTGGTACCACTTCCGGGGCATGCCCTCCTCTGAACTTGCCTGGGGGGGAGGTGACTGGATGGGGAAGGGGACGGGCTGTGGGGTAAGGGTCTGGGTCTCTATCCAGTTCCCCACCTGGCCCCGTCTCCCCACAGCTCATGTGCCATGTGCCTTTCTGGGAAACAAAACAGCAGCCCCTTATGTGCTGGTCGTGAGGGTTCCCCGGGTAAGTATATGTAAAGCACTAAGGGCAGCCCCCGGTAATAGGGCGTGGGCATCCTGCTCAAACCTCCCCTGTTAGCAAGAGTCTCTCCCCCCAGGGCCTCTGGCAAGACAGAGAAGCCACCTGAGCAAGTGCTGCCCCAGCACCGGGTGACCACGTCCCCTTCCTCCCTCTTCCTGCCCCTCCCCTCTTCCACCAACCAACAAGAACCACACACACATAAGAATATAGACTTTTATCTTATTTTAGTTAAAAAAAATAATTGTACCACCAAATGAAGAAGTAGCTTTCTTTGGGGGAAGGTGAGAAGGGAGGGGGGGGAAAAAGAGCAAAAAGCCAAAGAAAAAGAACTTTTTATATTCATCTGTATAAACATATCCGCTAAGGCAAACGCAATCCGGGGCCAAGGCACTGGGGTCAGTACCTCCAAATTTCTGCAGATTCTAAGGCCAAAAAAATAAAACCTCTGCAAATCCAACAGGAGTTTTGTGGATTCTTGGGGCATTTTACTAAAATAAAGAGTTATCAAGTTTAAAAAGCAGTGACGTCATGACACACACGGAAAGTTGCATAACTGTGGCCTCGACGGCCATTCACTTGTTTGGCTGAGTGACGGGCACAGTTTCACGACACGGCAGCGGACACAGACGCACACACACACGGACACGCACGCACGGAAGTGAGCACACTGGGAGCTGCGTGGGACCGGGCTGGTGGCACAGGCGTGGCCACCGTCCGTCTTCAGATGGGCACAGGGAGGGCCGGGGTCCCCATGCTTCCTCGGCTGCGGGGGGGGCGGTGTGTGACGGGACGGGTCCCGTCGCTGGTGACAAGGCGGTGCCCATCACTTGGCGGAAGGATGGCTTGAAGGGGCCCAGTAAGGCCCCCGCTCCCCACTGCCTGGTCCGTGCAAACCACTTAAAGCACTTCTTAGACACGTCCTGGAGAATGGAACCAGGCGCTGGTTTCCTTCCCATGAAGGGGCCAATCCCTCTTCCCCACCCTGCTCTCTCCAGAGCCCCTGGGACCCCCGGGTGGTTCCAGGGAGACTGGGGAGTGGCCTTTCTGCCCCCGGAGCCTTCCCTGCCCGTGATCCATGGCACGGCCGGCAGAGTGTGGGCCCGTGAGGTAGATGGGCACAGCTGCCCCTCACCCTTGCCTGGCCGGGTCCCAGAGTGCCAGGGTCCCCATGTGAACATGGGGGACCGGGGCCTGGGTCCCTCTGCCAAAACAGAAGCCCCCCTCCCCAACCCCGCCCCCAGCAGAGAGAGGAGGCAGGGCTGGAGGAAAAGTCGTCGGGGGTGGGGAGCCCCAGTGCCTTTGCTTAGCCCCTTTGTCCCGCTCTCCGACAGAGCTGGCGCCGGCCACCTTCTTGCTGTCCGTCCTCCCCCAGTCTTGGAAGCTGCTCGAGGGCCCCAGGGGCTGCGTGGCCTGCAGGTCAAGGGCAGGCCGCTGGGCGGGGAGGACGAGAGCGCACGGAGGGCAGGCATGGAGGGCAGGCACCCGGAGCGGGGAGGCCCTCAGGGCCAGGAGCTGGGCTCGGAGCAGCTGCAGCGCTGGTGCAGGCAGGGGGGTGGCCGGGGGCGAGAGACACGCAGGAATCGCCAGGGAGGAGGGCTGGGCCGGGCGAGGAGCCGGCAAGGGGGGCCCGGCCTCAGGAAGAGCGGGAGGGAGCAGGGGCACCGGGCCGCCTGGGGCGCCCCTCAGCTGGCCCCGTTCACAGGCTTGGCAGGTTTTCAGTAGGGTCCCTTCGGACAGAGCCCAGGATTCAGACGTGGCCTCCAGTCCGCCCGCCCCCGCTGGCTGCACCGGGCGCCGGGGCCGGGGCCAAGCGGTCAGGCCGCAGCCCCTGGCTACTTGAAGGTGGACTGCAGCTCCTTGAAGGCTGCCTTCCGCTGCTTCATCTCCTCCGCCTGCTTCTTCCTCTCCTCCTGCTCCGCCTTGATCTCCTCCTCGAAGCGGCTGGACACGTTGATGGCCTGGACCTGCAGGGGAGGCGGGGGCGACGGGGGTCAGGGCGGGAGGGGCGTCTGCGCCTCCACTGTGGGCTCTCAGACCCCCTCCCCCTGCCAGCCCGCAGACCGCTCTGCCTATCGCTACCTCTCTGAGCCTCAGTTTCCCATTCAGAGCCTGCCGCTCCGTAACTGACTCGTGGACTCGTTGAAGGGACTGGAAACTAGAAGGTACACTTGGTAGCGGCTGCCTAGTGGGAGTCCCGGAAGCGGGGGCTTCAAAGCTGCTCTTCTTCTTTATTTTAATTTTTAACTTTTATTTATTTATTGGGGGGTGGAGAGCACAAGTTGGAGGGAAGAGCAGAGGGAGAGGGAGAAGCAGACTCCCTGCTGAGCAGGGAGCAGGACACAGGGCTCGATCCCAGGACCCCGAGATCATGACCTGAGCCCAAGGCAGAGGCTTAACAGACTGGGCTGCCCAGGTGCCCCCGGAAGTTGCTATTCTTATCTACTTCCTGTCCTGGGAAGCCCAGATGCAAACAAGGTCCCACTGAGGAACCCTGGGTCATCCCATCAAGCCCAGAAGCCCAGAGGGAGGAGGGACACGGCCTTCAGAAACAATGTTCTTAGTTAACATGGGGAGAAGGAGAAACCAGGAAAAGCAGGTGCTCTGGGAGGTCAGAATCCAGCAAGCTCTGGGTGTCCCCTCCATCAAGTGTGTGCGGCACTGGGAGGTGCTGTGCACCTGGGTGCCTCTGGGACCCATCCTCCCTCTGGGTGAGGGCTGGTGTGGTGGGGGTCTCCGAGAGGCCCCTGAGCCCATGCCGCGGTTTCTTTTTTTTTTTTTTTTTTTAAAGATTTTATTTATTTATTTGACAGAGAGAGATCACAAGTAGACAGAGAGGCAGGCAGAGACAGAGAGAGGGAAGCAGGCTCCCTGCTGAGCAGAGAGCCCGATGTGGGGCTCGATCCCAGGACCCTGAGATCATGACCTGAGCCGAAGGCAGCGGCTTAACCCACTGAGCCACCCAGGCGCCCCCATGCCGCGGTTTCTGCGCCTGCCCTGCCATCTCTTGGGCACCCCGTTCAAGGACTGGTCCTTTGGGGGTAGTGGTTCTGTGGGCCGGGCAGAGAAATGGGCAAGCTGGAAGGGACCTCGGCCTGGATGGAAGTGACAGAAGCCAGGAGCACTGCGGGCCTCACGCAGTCCAGCCCTCGCATCAGTGCCGCATCTCCGATCCGTGGCCCCGGCAGGGACACGAAGGGTGAGCACGGACCCTGGGGCTAACTCAGGGTCCTGTCCTCCCCAGGGCACCCTTGCCCTTGAGCTGGGGGTCAGGGTGCTCCCTACCCTGGGCTCCACACAGCCTCGGGTTCCTCACCTTGGCCTCGAAGAAGCTCTTGGCCCCCTTGACACCCTCGGTGGAGACATCGATCTCGGAGAGGCGGGCGAGCACATGCAGCCCGCTGTCTTCCTGCAGCTCCCCAGCAGCTGCCTTGCGGAAAATCAGAAGGAACTGCGGGATGGAGAAAAGCATGTTGTCAGGGAGGGACAAGGGGCCTTGGTGTGCCCATCTGTCCAGTGGGAGGCAAGGGGACCCATCTCCCGCTCTCCCAGGATCCGGGGCTGCTACAGGCCTGTGTGCCCACCCTTGGCTCCCAGGCAGAGCCCCAACTGACCTCGTGTCTTTGTCCCCACTGTTCCCCCAACCAATTTACTGAGTCCCTAAGGTATAGGATTGTGCCCATTTTACAGACTGTAGAAGACTTGGAGACCAGGAAAAAGCCCTGCCCCGAATCTTAGCAGCAGAAAGTGACAGAAGGGGGGTCAGAACCCGCGTCCTGACTCCATACCATCACGGCACATAGCCCGCATCTCCCTCCCTAGACGCGTCTTCCCCACTCCTGTTCTCCTGCCCTGCCTCCTCTAGGCTTCTGGTGAGCTTGCCCAGGGAGGCCACAGCTGTCCTTTACCCAAGGCTGCCTGGGGTCCAGTACCATTGCTTGCTGGCTGTGAGCCTCCATTTCCTCCTCCAAGGAGCAGGCTTGCTCATGGCTCCTGTTCCAGAGTGAGGACGGAGACCCGGAGTCCCCCAGCGCAGAGCCCAGCCCCTTCCAGATGCAGTGCCTGTCGCTCCCTCCCTGTCCCCTCATCTCCAGCATCACAGCACCCTGTCCCTTCACTCTCTAGGCATCTCCCCCTCTACACACCAGGATCCTAGCAGCACAGGGCTTTCCTCTGGATTCCCAAAAGCCCCCCAGGGCCAAGTATACAGCAGTCACTCAGTAAGTGCTGACCGTGTGAAGGAACAGATGTCCTTCCTCCCTCGAGGAGCCTGAGAGTCCCCCACAGGGAGCGGACTCACCTCCCGGAAGCTGAGCTTGCTGTCCAAGTCCTCGTCCACCTCCTTGATCATGTTTTTCAGGCCCAGGTGGGTCTGTGGGGCTCCGAGCTTCTCCATCATCAGCTTCAGCTCCATCAGGTCAATGAAGCCATCCCGGCCAGCGTCGTACCTGGGGGAGCCAAGGCAGAGGCTGAGGACCTCCTGTCACCTCACAGCTCACCGGTCAGAGCACCACGGGCTGGACTGCGAGGCGCCGGTCACCCTATTGCAGCTGAAAGGGACCCTGGTCCAGGTGAGGGCCTGAGGTGTGGCTGCTGTTTGGTTACCTCTGGTGACGAGGAGCTCCCCACATGGCCTGTGGCCTCTGACACGTTGAACAATGCTAACTTTTGGAGCAGTGCGATGCGTAAGAAAGCTGAAGCCACAGCCTGCATGGGCTGGATGGGACGGGAACCAGCAGGGACAAAGAATTCATGACACCATAGGGGTACAGATTGTTGGGGGGGGAGGGCAGCCAATGACTCTGATGTTATCTCCAGGGCCAGCCTTGCATCCCTACCGGCCCTATGTCTCCCCGACTCCTGCTGCCACCCAGGAGGGAGACAGAAAACAGCATATGTCACAGGGCAGGGCCTCAGGAGGGAGGCCTCAGGAGGGAGGCCCACTTCTGGTTTGCTGGGAGGTGGCCTGGGGTGAATGCAGGGAACAGTGTCACAGGGTGTGCCTGCTGTGGGGGGGGGCGGGGAGGGGGATATGGCTCTGTGGCTGGAAAGGGCTGGAACGGTGATTAGGTGATAAAAGTGTGTCTGCACATTGCGGGTCTCTTTTCTACCACCAACTGCCCAGCAGACACGTGTGTGTGTGTGTATGAGGGGGTGTTGTCTAAATGTCCCTCTCCCTGGCCTCTTTGTGGTCAGAGATGGCCTCAGGGCCCGGTCCCCGCTGGGGAGATGCTGCTGGTGCAGACCACGTCCCATCAGGACGGATGTGGGCCCTCTTATCAGGCTAACCCAACACCTGTGCAGACTGCCTCCCGCAGGGGAGGCAGGGGGTGGGAAACGCGCTCTCAGGGCTAAAATGGGCTTTCTGAGCCTGGAGAGGCCTGCGTAGCCCCAGGCCTCAAGCTGCCTGGATGAGTGTTGGTGACAACAGAGTGACACAGAGGGGCTGAGCTGCAGAAACCCTTGTTCCAGTCTTGGCACTCCTGCACAAACACATACCTCGTCTCTGTGCCTTCCTCTGGGCTCCCCAGCTCCCTTCCCCCATCCCAAGCTCTATATAAGGCTCACACGACCTTGAACAACGAACAGAAACCATTTTTTTGAAATCTGTCTTTATGCTGGGAACCTCACATTGTTTATTGTATTTAATCCCCGTAATAACCTTATATAATGGAGGCTCAGAGAGGTTAGGTGACCCGCCCAAGGTCACAGAGCAGTAAAGGAAGAGGGCGGACGCCCAGCTCCTCCGCCTGCACATCTGCTCCGAGCCAGCCTGCTTCCAGGGGTCCTGGTGAGGCCCCAGCACGGAGCTGTCTGCCCTGAGCCCGGAGCAGTTGGCGTGAGGGGTATAAATAGTTCACAGACGAGTCAGTGGTTGGGAGTGACGCAGCACGGGGAGGATGGGGTTCTGGGAACCCTGCAGGGAACACGGTCCTGAAGTCTTTCTCCCCATGGGGCTGGGCTGGGGGGTGGGAGCAGGAGCAGATGGGCCGGAAATCCCTGTGGGCAGTGCTGTGGCCGGGGTGTGAGCTGCCGTGAGAGGGTGTGGTAACGGGCTGTGGGCCTCGGGAGGGCCAGGCAGGCCCATGATCCCATGCTCCAGGCTCCCCTTCAAGCTGGAGGGGCCCCGTGGGGGGCACGGCAGAGGCCCCTCCTTCCACCTTTGGAGTCTGGGAAGGGGGCTGGGTGGCTGTGGGGTGACAGGCCCGGTTCTCGCTGGGGCAAGCCACGTGGGCGCTGCCCTTCAGGGAAACCCCACTGCTTTCTGGACGGGGTGAAAGTCAGCAATGAACAGGGCTGGTTCTGGGAGACCCTGCCCCTTGAGCCTCCGGCCGAGGTGTGACGGTGACTCTCTCGCAGGTCACTGCGAGGACTGACCGAGCTCCTGCACGGTGCGCGCTTAGCCCAGGGCCTGGCACACAGAGCGGACTCCAGCAGTGGCAGAGTGAGCTCCGGCTGCCTCCATGAAGCCCCTACTGTGTGCCGGGCAGTTTGTTCTTTACAGCTTCTGTGCGCAGCAACCCTGGGCGGGTTACTTCCCCGTGTGACTGTGTGTTCCCCCAGGGAACAAGGATGGTAGGGGTGAGGGCACAGGCCCGCTGGCCAGGGACTCAGCCCCCATCCCGCAGGTTCCCACACTCTACTCTGCCGTCCCACCTGCCTCTCCTGAGCCCCAGCTTTATTTATTGCTCACGTGTACGCGTTTCTCCCACAGCTGGGGGTGGCTCAGTTTTAGAGGAAGTGCACGGATCAAGTGTCCGAACTTGGACAGAGACTTTGGCTCTGTGTTTGTTGGTCTCTGGCAGCTCCCGGACCTGGCCGGGCTGCAGCTTTATCCGCGGCTTGGACCGCTGCCTGCATCAATCAAAGGTCAATCAATTACCGGGTCTGGGCTCTCTCCTGGGCGGGCTCTGGCCCCCAGGGGGACAATGCAGGGGCTGGTCACAGCGCCAGCAGATCAATTGCTAAGGGAAGGCGACAGAGGTCAGGAAGAGGCCAGGTGCTGGGGTGGGAGCCAGGTCCCCCAAAGGAGGGACACTGCGGGGGAGGAGGGCTGTTCCCACAAGGCTCCGGGGGAGCAGGTACCTACAATGTCCCCTGGGCTCGGGGGCCACTGGATCAGTCAGGTCCCCAAGGGTAACGTGACTGAAGATGACCTTGAAGTTTCTGTGCTCACATCAGGTCTGCTGAGACAGACTGAGGCTCAAACCCCCAATTGGCCACTTGACTGCCTGATCCTGGTCAAGTCACCTGACCCCACACACCCCAGCGTCCCCATTTACAGCATGGAGATCAAAGGACCCATCTCAGGACAGAGGCAAAGGTTAAAAGAGACCAGCCACGTCAGTTCCTAGCACAGAGCCCGGCCCACTTAATGGACACCCACGGACAATAACGCCAACGGCCATAATGATAAACAGAAGCACCATCATCACTAGCTACCTTTAGGATTGAAGATTAAATGAGATGATGAACATAAAATGCCTAGTACCTAACAGGTGCTTAAAGCCTGCTAATTCATTGTAATAGAGGCCACTGAGCACTTCTGTGTGCCAGACATTACGCTAAGTACTTCACACAAAGAACATAAAAATGGCGCTGATAAGAATGATAATGGTAAAAAACACAAGGGCCTCTTTCTTGGGCACCAGTCCCGATGTGCACGTGCACGGCTGCGAGAAGCGCTCGCTGTCGACTGGACTGGAGGCAGGGGGATGGGCGAGGTGAGCTATTGCTGCCCCCAGCCTCTCCCCTTCCTCTGAGGCTCCCACTACTTCCCCCGCTAGGACTCATTCAAAGACCCCACAACTTGGGGAGATGGAAAAACAGCAGGACAGAGCCTTTTGCTCTCTTGCTGGGCAGAGGAAGTGAGGAGCCTCAGCCCGGATTGCTCTGTCCCTCCTCTCATGGGAAGGAACTGATAAGGGGGGGGTCACCGTGCCACCAGCAGGTGGATGACTGGCAAAAGAGGAGATGCCCCTGGCTGGGGAGACCCTCTCATCCCTCAGCTCTCTCCCTGAGCTGGAGCTGAGGGTTCAGGGTCTCAGAGAGACCCGGAAAAGAGCGTCAGTGCACAAGATCTGTCCTCATAGCCTGGTCTACCTGCTTCATGTTGTGTGACGGGAACTGTGGCCCAGAGTAGGCAGCAAACCAGCCTGGGGTCACACAGCCGGCAGACTGCAGGATCCCCAAAGCTGGAGACGTTCCTTCTTCCTGCCTATCTGCTTCCTTCTTCCTCCTGGTCCCATGGAGGGTCCCGAATTCTCCAGCCTGTAGGGCTGGGGCATGCTGGGTTGAGAGCCCGGCCTGGGGCCTGCCTGGGAGGGCTGATGGCACTGGGCAGGAACGGCAACAAAGCTCGCAGGCTGGGAGCTCAGCACTTTTCTCCGGCACTGGAGGGAGGCTGCTGCACCTGGCACTGTGCCCACATTCCTACCCGCCTCCCCCTGAATAGTTCCCGACAGGCAGGGCTGGGCAGCTGCCGCCCCAGATGCCGGTGACAAAGTCCCTCCCATCTACCCTCGAGAGGGGAGCAGTCGGCCACCACCCAGGCAGCCTTTGCCCCCTTGGGCCCAGCAGGTCCCACCCAGCTGGCGCTCCTCCTCCTCCCCTTGGTTCTGATAACGAGGAGTCATGGGGGCCGGGATCAACACCGGGTCTCATAACAATATTACCCTTTGTGGCTACTCTTTGCTGAACGCTCTGCCAAGGAGACCCAGTCAGGTCTTCCCAAGACCCCCTGGGAGCAGGCCTAAATGGCCCCATATGACAGCCGAGGAGATGGGAGGCTCAGGGAGGAAGTGACTTGACCGAGGCCATAGCCGACAAGGACAAAGCCGGGATCCGAACCCAGAGCTGATGAAACACACACATGCTCTCAACTGCTACGCTGTGTCCCGAGGCCCCCAGACCCTGTACCAGAGTCTCAGGCTGGGAAGGATATTGGAGGCCACTCATTCAGCCATGCGTGAAGGTCAGATTCCCAGATTTCCTGTATGTTTCTGGAATACCTCTGAGCACAGGAAGCTCACTGCTTCACTTAAGGCAGCCCGTGTTGGCTCTGGAACTATTAGAAGGTTGTTCCTTGGGCACGAGCCTCTCCACCCACCAGCCGTGCTGTGGAGTCTGATGGCAGAATGAGTTATTACAGCTGCTGCACAGGGGCAAGGTGGGGGCATGGAGACCCCGATTCTGTCCTTGGCTTCCTATCCCAGGCCTTTGCAGCTGGCCCCTCAGCCCAAGGGGGTCTCCAGGGGAGAAGCAGCTAGAGAGGGTAGTGTTTATGGACTGAGGATCCCACCAGGCCCACCTGGCTTTGGACTTGACATTCACAGACCTGGTCCTCCCTCCCGTCTCCCCCAGTGGCTCCTAGGCCTCTCTACTCTTTGTCCTATGAACTGGGAAGGCAGGTCCCTTGGGGTAGGAACGTTCTGGACAAGAGAAAAAT